TCAGGGAGGAGGAAAAACCTCATCGGCTCGCAAGCCACGGATGAGACCTGGACAAGTTCGGGTCTCATCTGAAACGCACCGAGAGGTTGCATTCCAATCACAACCGCTCAGAACGGTTGCATTCCAATACCTCACCGCTCCGAAAGGTTGCATTCCAACCCCAACTGTCCAGGGCGGTTGCACTCCTCCCAGAACCATTCAGTAGGCTTGCACCCTCAATATTAAAATCAAAATTCTAATTTTGTATGAAAATAGATGAATGAGTTGCTACTCAATTAGATTTCCTCTTAGATTAAAACTCTTTTTGTTTCTCATTTATGACTAACTGAAAGTACGAATCATTACAATCGAGCAATTACAATCGAGCATTGGAGGAGATCGAAACAGAAATGGAAATGAGAATGACAGACTGAGCATTCGGAATTCTCTTCTACATGCTGGTATGAAATGTATGAATGGAGGGACAGGGATCAGCGTGAGCCATATGATGGGCTTCTTCAATGGAGAGATTGAAGATTTTTGAAGATACAAAAGTTCATGACGTTTGGGCGATACATGTACTCGAGCCCTTTGAAGTCCCGGCTCCAGAACTAAGAACTGAAGTCACCTTGTGATCTGAAAAACTTTTTTTTTAAATTGTACAATTGATGAACAACTGGAACGGGGAAAACGGAGCTTGTAGCGGACGTTCTTGATTATCTCGTTCACCCTCTTGCTGTAGTCGACGTTGGACATCAACACATAGTAAGGACCAGCAATCGGATAAAAGGTCAGTAAAGTTAATGAACAATGAGCCACAACTGAAAACAGGGAATGATTGATGAACTTACTGTGAAACAGTTAATCTACCATGGTTGCCGATATGGAGAAGGGCACACATGCCAAGTATCCCAAGAGGAACAGCCACCCCGCATAACTCGACAGCTCCCTGAACAGGAACTTTAACTTCACTCTATAGTTTCCCTCTTACGAAGTAGATGATGCCGACAGAGATTCTACGCTGATTGGCTAGGAACTGAGCAGACTGCGTCGACTTTCCCTGATTCCTGATGCTGATGAATAAGATTGTTCCACAGAAAATTGCGACGGACATGTACAAGGCAACAATCACAAAACCATAAACTACAATGATTATGAACTCGATGCTCTCCGTAGGTATGAAGTTGACTCCATGCAAGGTATCCATCTCTATGGGATATTCGTCAATTATCTGAAAACGAATTCATTTCAATGAAACAGAGAATCCATTACCTTTATACATTCAGTTCGACCTCTTTCGCCAGCATCTTTCAATGTGAGACCAACGACAGCCATACCTATGATCTGCAGAAACCATTGGAGAAAAAAGATTTTCAAAAGGATGCTCTTCGTTCTTTCCGACCACCTCATCGAAACAGCGAACATACGATGAACAAACAGAAGCAAAGCGAACATTAAGCTACCTGAAAGTGAGGTTATTGGATCTCCCAGTCTTCATCGTTGTTTGTTACTAAAGAACAGAGCAGCCAAAATGAAAAGTAGGTTTATGGTGGTTAAAACTTCCAAACGAGGAAGTATTCCCGCGTTGTACAAACTGGCACAAGGTAAGATAGCGTAGGACTGCACACCAATGGTCATAAAGAGTTGGCCAAATCCAGTTCTGAAACATACAATTATGAGATGTCATCCAAGCGGGTTCACTCACGTCAAGTCATGTCCATGTATAACGAATCGAGAGAATGGAGAAAGCTTCGTAGGGACAGTCATGAGCAAGTACAGTGAAAAGAATATAATAAAGAATCCAAAAGAGGATAAGCAATACATAACGATAGAATAGATTTCCATCCAGAAACCCACACGCTGTTTGAGATTTCGATTCTGGTGAACAGCAGCTGAGAAGCCAAGAGATCTGCAACTGTGAATTGTGTCCATTGGTTATAACTTTTGACAACAAAAATTGGACTCATTCTTCCATACGAATTGGGTACCCACAGCTACTACATAGACTCAACGAAAATTCAAAAACAACTTGTTCACTATCTCTCGTCGTCGCTATCATCAACCTTCCACTTCAATCTAAATGAGCTGTGAGGGTTTCTAGAAGGATGACAAATGAGAATATTGAAAGAGATACATGAAATATCATACCTAACCTCGGTGTCTGTATTAAGAGAGGATGTGACTCCACAGTTTCCCAACTTAATAAGAGCATGAGAACTTCAAACAGTAGATGTACTTATGCATCTCTACAAGGAATTAGAAGGGAAGGCTTGATCCTCGAGTTGGCCTTGTTAACAGTTCGAATCAATCGATCTTTAGAAGGAGTGTCTAAACAACAAAAGCATGAAACAGTCCTATATGGAAGCAACGAGTTGAATAGGCACTCCAAACTCTTCATAGGGTTGATGGGCAGATGGGCTGATAGGCTGATAGGTTGATACAGCGTCAACTGTTGCATGATGAGGCTATGCTTATAATGAACAAAGCTTATCCGATTGATTCTTCAGCAGACTGATTTGATGAAGCTATTAACCTTCAAATCAGTTCGCCAACAGATCCTGCGGTCACACCGAATGTTCAAAATGTAAGATATTCAAGCTTATCAAATCTCAGGATGTTTCAATAACAAGTTCAGTACGAACACAGCACCCATGGGATGAAAGGTTATGATAGTATCTACAATAACAATAACTGAATTTCGTGAAAACAAGTTCGAACCTAGTGTGAAACCTACTGAATTCATCTATCGAGAAGTCTGCCACTGACGTCTTCAAGAATAATATTAGCTATGCAGCAGGAAATAGATAATATAATTACCAAAAACAGACAACAAAAATGTTTCTGGTACGCAAACTTGCGTCAGGTATGGCTGTCATTTTGTATTCACTTGTATTGGACGGTCTGGCTGAGCTTCTCTGATATCTCTCAATTGTGTGAATACGTTACAATTCTGATCTTACTAAAATCAAAATGATACTTACGTAAAAACATGAGTTTTTATCACAATCCTCCCTTCGTTCAGTTAACATTCCTGTGTTGGAATTCTCAATGGAAACTTATGCGATCATGATTTGCTGGGTCCTTCCGAGAAAAGGTCTCTTACGGGCCAGATAACTCATGAACATCAGTTCTTTTTGCTATGAGAATCTGAGAGAAAACGAACCCTACCAAACCGCAAACAGAAGTAGTTCTAGAACATATTCTCGTCTTCTTCCGGCAAACTTGGCTTTTTCTGATCTCTGAGGTGTGACTCGGTCAGTTCCATTTCTCTTATTCTCGAAGTTCTCCAAAGAGGTTGGAGCTAACATCTCCTTGTGCCTCAACTTATGTATTAGTGACAAGCAAACAAACTATGATTACATTGAATTCTTCTGTCTTACTCTGTTCTCCATCAATCGTGCAACAGTTCACTTATCTATGGTTTGTTAATGTCTCAAAGAAACTCATGGTTCCTTCGTTTATTGAGTGACAACAGTAGATAGGAGAGGGGATATTCAAAAATTAAAATCTGTTGTTCGTGGAAAAAAACGAAAACAATCATTTGTATTCGTTCTCAGCATTCGATTGTCCATGCATACAACTACATCTAATCGGTACAATTGCTGAAAACCATATTCGAAGTAACAAAGCTTTGAGACATTCAAACACCACAGACGAGGAAACCGTTGCACGATTGATAAACAGAAGTTTAGACTCACAATTAATCTGAAGAAACAAAGTTCGTTGGTAGAACTATTCTATTCTCAACATTATTAGTGAAGCGGCAAGTTCTATTAGATACGGTACTATTCAATGTAATTGGGAACAGATTGTGCATCTCCAGGTAGAGCTTTGAGTACTCAACCTCTCTTTGTTTGTGAACAGGAGCAGCAGCTTTCCGTGCTGTTTCTGCTCACATCGTCAGAGAATTTGAGCGAAAGTGTCAACTGCCCCAACCTCGAGTTGGAGGCAGAAGGGCATCATGAATAATACTGAAAGATAAATGAGTAAGAAACTAACTTGGAAACTGCAAAAGGACAAATCTGTTCTGAAGTTGCTGATGGTATCCTTCAACGAAGCTACAGGTTGATCAGAAACTGTACGATTAAATGAGAAAAAAGGTTTTCTAGGTTTTGACGATTGAGATCAACCAACCACAAATGCGATTTCATAAGAAACTCATAGAAAATGGACAGCGTCCAGTCTCCCGGTTGTAAACGATATACCAGTAGAGATGTCTGGAACAATGCAAATCAATTTCAACTCTTACCGTTCAGAATAAAAAACCATTAAGAACATACTAGCAGAAGCATAAGCACTAAGAAACTATAAAAAATGATAAGATAATCAATTTCTTGAAACTTTGCGTACGTGATTAGGCGTCAGCAAGAAGGTATTCTGTTTCTCTAACATTCGGGAGCTACCTCTCTGTTGCGCATTCACTCTAACACATTGCTCACGAAAATGAAAAAGTGTACGACACCTGGGATTCCCAAGCCGTCTCCGATCCAAGTACTAACCAGGCCCGACGTTGCTTGACTTGCCAGATCGGACGGGAT